CCCCAAAACCCCAAAACCCCAAAACCCCAAAACCCCTTAATTTTTATTTATTTTGAAAGAAATATTAACAAATGAGTCTAAAGGAAAATTTGATCGTAGGGAGTTCTTTTGACACTTTAGCCTGATAATGAGGAGAATAACACAGAAGAGTATTTCCCCACTGATGATGGAGGCACAACTACATCAGAAGAGTATAAAATCAGTGCCTTTGATCCTTCTAATGACATTTCTGATCCTAAAGTGATTGAAACATGGGTAGATAATATACTCAAAGATGCAGAGTCTTTGGAGGATTATCATAAATATTTAAAATAAGAGCACTGCTAGTCCCTCTGTCAGATATGGGATTGATAGAGACACTCTGAAGTACTTAGGAGTCAGTGACCATAATGTAGACAGGCTCTACCGAGCCTTATTTGTCTATAGCATTGGATTTTATGAACTTCTTCAAAATATAACTGTTGGGATCAAAGCTACCAGTTCATCGAATCATTCAAAGATAATGGGGTCTCTTTGGAGAGTATATAGCATTCTTTTGGAATTTTGATGTAAAAATGACTACCAGTTGCTTATCTCCAAGATCAAAACAGACCATGAGGTTGAAAAGCAGAGCCTTAAAGATCGTATACAGTCAAATCATGAGAAATATATTGAACAAGAGATTGAATTCCGTAAGAAATTTAAAGAAATTGAAGCTGAAAATGCTGTTTTTGCTAAGGAAAAAATTACAACTAAGAGATATACAGCCAAACTCAATGACATGATTGATGATTTAAGGGTCAAGATTGAGGAAGAGACTAGGATTAGAAAGCTATTTGAAAATAAACTCAATGATCTCCATTCTATTGTTAGGGATAAAGATGCAGCTTACAACAGAGCGAAGGTGGATCTTGACCATCTTCTGCAGGATAATATTAACAAAGATGATCAACTAAGTAGACTTTTGAAAGAATACAAGGAGCTGTCAGAAAAATAAAACTGAATTTCAAGTACAGTATGATTCAATAGTGGCTGAATTGAATCAAGCCCAGAAAGATTTTGAAAGAGAAAAACTGGAGAGAGTAAAAGAGACTAAACATCTGAGGGAAGATCTCCAAAAGACAAGATCTTCTTTGCTAAAGGTTGAGAAAAATTATAAGGAAAATCTACAGGACCTTCAGCGTAAGTTAAGTCGTTGCTAAACACTTATAGAACTTAGACAAGTTCATCATGAAATGTCTAAGAATTACTCAAATGACAAGCATATCTTAAAGAGATATTACAGAGATGGCAAGAGTATCAAGAAACTAGAGTCTACCATTGAAGGACTCAAGAAAGAATGTAATGAATTAACAGAAGACGTTGTTGGAACTAGAGAAAGAGAAATCCAATATAAAAAGATCTCAGATGAAGCTAAACAAGAGACATCAGAAATCAGAGAGGAGCTTAATAAATTCATAGTCAAGCATTCTGGCTTAAAGTCTAAATTAACAGAGTTAGAGGTTAACTATAATAACAAATGACTACAGTTCAAGGAGCAAGGAGTTTATCTTGAAGAATCTGAGAAAGAAAGACAACGTGTCAATGAAATTAACGAAATGCTCAAGTCCCAAAACACGCACTTGGAGAAAGAAGTCAAGGATAAATTCAACATGGTAGTGATACAAAGAGAATCTATGAACAGACTAAAGAATAAGCTTATAAAAGTGGAGAATGATTATGATTCCCTTAATGGTAAGAACAACACAGATAGGGAAGTCTTACAGACACAGATTTATCAGCTAAAACATGAAATCTCTGTGCTAACAGATAAGGTAGATATTCTAAAGACTTCCAGAGGACACTTGGTTAGAAATTTAGAAACTGAAGCTGAAGAAAATGAAAAATTGAGGGGTACAGTTCATACAATGAAGACCAAACTTTCAGAAGAATTTAATGAGAAGAAGAACATCGAAGGCGAGTGAAACAAGTTGGACCAGATGAGGATAAAAACTGAGCAAATATTATCAAACAAGGAAGATGAAGTCAGCCAACTCTTCAAACAAAGAGAAAGTTTGAACCTGAAGCTGCACACAAAGAATGAGATGAATCATCATTTTGAAAAATAAAACCAGTGAATACATTCAAAGAATAAGGACTGAGAACAAATAAGCTAAAAGATCAGATAAAGCTAGAGAAGGATCGAGGATTGATGCTATGCGAAGATATCAGGACTCAATGAGCGAATACCTGACAAAAATATCAGCAAATGCTACTTGAGAAGATAGAGGCACAGAAATAGCGTCTCAAGATTTAATAAACGAATCCATTCATTAGAATGAGATATCGAAGTAGCCCACATCAGGATTAAGAACCTAAAGCTTGAACTAAATACCGCTAAGAACACTTATAAAGTTATTGAGAATAAGTACAAAGAGAAGAAAAATGAAATCAATAAGATTAAGCAAGAACTTAAGACACAAAAGAGTGAGAATGAGATCTTCAAGAAAGTTATTTACGATACAAAAGTAAGTAAGCCGATGCCTGCTACTAAGAAGAGTCAGAGTGATCTAAATGTGAGCATCAGCAAGATCATCGAGATTAAAAAAGGAAGAAATGGGGAGAATGTGCAGATAAAGAATGTGATTACAGAGACAAACTCCAATGTTTCCAGCATTATAGAAACCTGAGAAGTTGCCATTATGACAGATGCTTGTAAGAGGAAAGATAACTTCATGCAAACTGAAGCTCATGGATTTGTCGAAATACAGGATATTATCAGAAGGAATTCCCTAATAAATGTCAGACGAAAAATAAGCTCCAATACTGCAATAGGAATTGTGGAAAAGTCAGATCAAGATAAAATATCAAAGCATGCCCATTCAGAGAGCTCAATGGAGAAGTTCATCTTTGCTAGGAAGGAAGAGAAAACTGGAGATAAGACAATGAGGAATAATCAGTATAATGAAATTGACAAGGTGATCAAGTCAGAATCTGAAAGTGTCAGTCAAAATACAAATCTCGGAATACGAAATAGAGACTTGGAAGAGTCTATAAAGATAGGAGTATCCCCTTTGGAACAAGTAACTACAATAAAGGCATCACAGACAAATACGGGCCATGTAGTAGTTTCTAAAATTGTAGATTGAGTAAATAAGCCTTCGAAGAGTAGCAATAAACCAAAAGGAATGAAAACTCGGAATCATCAAACAAGAGCAACAACTTCAAATCTTCATATGAAACCTTTGATGGGGCCAAATTATTTGCAACTGCATGGTGAAAGGATGGAGCGTCTAAAAGCTACTTCTAAATATAAGAGAAATCCATCTAGCATAGAAGGAGAATTTAAAACAACTCTTATGTCAGATAGGATCTCAAGGAATACTTCAATTGATGAAGTTAAGAACACCATGGATGCAGTTTATGAGCAAGGTAACTTTAGAAAGTAATCTTTAGAATCAAATACAAGAACAAGGGTTCTATCCCCAATTACTAAGGCTTCAAGTTTCCACAACTTGAAGCCAATTGACTGGGAAAGGCTTGAAAAGACAATAAGTCCAAGCAGGAATAAAATGACACATAAATTTGAACCAAAGTACTTCAGAACAAGGAATAAGTAAGTATGTTTCTTAAAATCCTAGAAAAATGTTGAGCTCAAGAAACGATATGAGGCAGAAGATCAAGAGGGCTGTTAGTTGACAATAATTCAATTTTTAAATAGAGGAAAGGGGTTTTGGGGTTTTGGGGTTTTGGGGGTTTGGGG